GGAGCTTCGCTCTCGGTTCCGGGTACGGCGCGCTGGCGTGGCTTTGCCGGGCCGTCTCCCACAGGGAGAGCCGGCGTTGTTTCCTTGGGGGAGCCACCTGTTACTCTGTAATCGATTTCTTTCGTAGTGGAAACAAACGCGTGAGGAAGATCGTGGGGGTCGTAACAGGACGCCGTTTGAAACGCAGTTGTTTACGTTAGTCTCGCAGGGCAAAGCTCTAATGTTTTGTGAGCACTGACTAATATAAGTTGGAGTTGTAGCTGATACAACTAATACCACTAAGAAGTGGTAATGGCAAATCTTAGTTTGCATTATAGATTATACAGTTTAGTTAGTGTAGAAATTCCCTTATGAAAAGAGTGTTTTTTTACATAAATAACTAGCAGCTTTCATTGATGTCGGTGTAACTAACCAGCAGCGATGTGTTCCTTATCCTTGTGTGCGTGCTGCTGTGCTTCTGGGCGTCACGTTCTTTCTGTCGGTTGCAAACTGCCAAGCTCCACTCTGCAGCACTTAAAACTTTTTCATCGGTTGGAATTGGCTAAGGAGGGTCTTTTGCACAGACTGGCATAGCTACGTTGATTCTTGAAGTCCTGTTTCAGTGTGCTCTCCTCTTCATGCTTGGTGCTTTTTTCATCAGGGTGTTACACATAATTGTATTTGTTGACTGAAGACGAGAATTATGTGGAATAGCCCTACAGGGGAGGACATGAAATGCTGCATCGAGGACTATGAAATAAAGCAATGTTTGATTATTAAAGGAATTAGTTTTGCTAATCCTGCCACTTGATAGAGCTCCATATGGCTGCTTCTCAGCATCAGAGATGACTTCTGTTTACTTGGACTCTTTTAAACAGGGAGTATGCTACCCTTTGTGCTTCTGTCCTTGCTTGTTGCTTCTCTTTCCAGGTTTTTCTCTCCAAAATACATTTCTGTTCCTTTTCTATATACGGTTTAGGTCCCTGCTTGTAAGAGAAACCTACAGAGAGAGAATGAATGAAGAACAAAGTTGACAACCATTTTTGTTAAAACTAAAGTATTTTTTCAGGGTAACTTATTTTTAATTCCGTCTTTTCCATCCTGTTTAACATTTCTCTGGTCAGGTGAGTGTATTGACTGGCAGTAGCAGAGAGGTAGCTTGATTCAGCTAACCTTTTTGTAATTCAGATATCAAATATGGGAAATCCAGTATTTCTGTGACTCTGAGCAAGTTACTGTTAATGTTTGTGTGATGGAATTAATGACATTAATGAGTTCTGTGCTTATTTTACTATAAATGCAAAAGACTAGGCAGGGGTGGAAATAGAGCACAGCTTTAGAAGGAATATTCCAGCATTGCTCTGCCAAAACAGTTAATTTCTGTATTTGCGTAAGTGGGGACAATTCCTAAAATGTTCTACTGTTTTCTGAAGACATGCTACCAAGGAGAGAATTGCACTTCAAAGAGGGAAACAACTTTAGTGCTGCTTTAGTTGTGGGTGTCAGTGTGGTCTTAGTTATTTGCTGTTAATGCCTTCATTATAAGCATATTGCGTCTCGTGTCAAGAAGTGCTCTTCCTCTCAAAATGAAGAGTCTGGAAGAATGGTTATTTACATCTTCATTTTGAGCAACATCTTCACTGGAAGGTTTAGCTGCTCTAGCAATTATTAGATTCTACCCATGTTTCTGTCCTGATAAAATCCCTAGTATATGTCTGAACAAAACTACTAGCTTCCCCCCACCCCCTGTGGAACTAATATAAACTACACTTTTCAAAGAACTGGGTTCTTAACAGACTAAGTTCTGCATCTATGCTAGGAATTAGACTAGGCTATGGTAAGAGTTCTGTTTGTAGTTATTTGTAGGTATAAAACTTTCAGACAGGCTTGAGGGGTTTTCCTGACATACCTATCTACTTAATATTGTCTTTTGGGTTTTCAGCATAAGGCTATGACTAGTTGATCACTCATGCATAGGCTTTTAACTGGGATAAGTTTTCTGTAAATCTCTTACCAAAGCAGGCTGCAGGAGTAGAAAATAGTAAAAGATACAGATGTTGAGATGGTGCTCAAAGGCAAAAAAATAGAAGATTAAGAGGAGCAATTTTATATGGATTCATATTTCTAACATAGGAAGTTCTGGTAGCTAGTGGAAAGGAGACGATCCAGAGAATAATCTGGATATAACAGTGATGTTCAACTAAACAAAGAATCTACCGTGTGGGTAGGCTTTTTTTTTAAAGCAAATTATTCTTTGGATTATTGGTCTATTACTTACAGGGCTAGAAGTAATGACTGTTTCACGTAGCTCTTGAAACTCTACAAGCAGATTGCTGTAGCTGGACACGGTAAGACACCCTGCAGACTCAGGCTCATTTTGCTTCCCTAAAGGAGATCAATTGGAAGGCAGCATTGTAGGAAAAACTTTGAAAGGGATGCTGACTATTGAAGTACTTGCAGGAATTTTGGTACAGAAGGCATGAAACCAGGGGCGCAGTCGCTTTGTTAGACTGAAAAAGTAATAAACTGGGCAAGTAATAAAAATAGGTTTGATCTATGAAGATGTGAAACATTTTAGTAATCCCTGTTTTTTAACAGTAAACTTGTATTTTATCTAAATTTTTTTTTTCTAGAAAAGCTGTATGGATTGCTATAGAACTAGCACATTTATGGCATCAGAAAATATGCAAGTGAGAAATTATTTTAATATGGAAAGATAAAAACTTAGTTCAGAAAACACCATGTTTGAAAGATAAAATCCTTCACCAAGTTCCTCATATTGCAGCTTTCTGAAGAATTTGTATGAAGCCAAGGAATTATTGTTTCTGGTATTTCAAATGGGAAAACTTTTTTTGCAGGTGGCCAAGTTAGATTATGTATATGTAATAAAGAAGCAAAAGGGGAAGGAGCTGATTTTTCTCCCTCCCCACTTCCCTTTCTGACATCTTATTTGCAGGTAAGCTTGTGGAAGTTTACTGAGGTCTGACTAAAGTGTGTGAAAGGACTGAACACAACATGCACAAAGTTAGCTGTTTAGTCTAGAACCTGGTTTTTCACACCTTATGGATGCTACTCAACAGTGCTGTAGGAAATAACTGGTTTGTTTTGTGACTAAATATTGAAGTTGCTTTAGTTGTGACTAAATATTGAAGAATGCTTTCTGCTTTAAAAGACAAGCTGTAAACACTTTACCTGGCAAATACTCTTTAATTCTTTATGGTGAAAAATTGCAAGGATTAACTTGCTTAGCACATTCTTCTGAAAAAGTATTAAATTTGATGTTCAGTTCTTTAGTAATCCTGCAGGAATTTAATTTACAGTTCTTGACTATGCTGTCCAACCTTTGTACACTCCATCTACATACTGCCACCTGTGTGGCTGCTTCTCTGCTGTTCACCCAAAACTGTTCTCTTTGCCTCCTAGAATTGCTAGCAAGGAGCCTAATATAGGAAGTCATTTTGTGTTTGTTAGCATGAGCCCTCATCCATGCTGTGCAACACCTCTTAATACTGGTGTGCTTCATGAGATAACTGATGCTGTAGAATGTGATCTAGACTATTGCAATTACAGATGGCTTTTGTTTTCTTGTGAGGTGACCTAGATGTGTTTGTGTGAAATGAATTCTCAATGGCTTGTTTACACAGATAGCTATTTGGGCCATAGACTGACTTCAGGTTCTTAGAGATTTTTGTGGTTTCCTGTTTCTGATCTGTTTTGAGGCTTGGGGCAGGGAAGGGGGGGAGCTAGTAGAAGGAGGCCTTAAACAGTCTCTGCCCCTGAAGGTGCTTGGAACTTAAGTGCTTTGCTTAGCAGTAGAGGAGGTTAGGGAGTAACTGGCTGATATGCAGGTTCTTACAAATCCTTTTGTTAGCTTTAATGCTTACCTGAATTTGGAATTAGAATCCTGGAAATTAGTGGCAGAAAATACCACCGTATATGTAAGGTTGTGAAATTTGGGAAAAGGCATTTGCATTACCTAAAATGTTCGGGTCAACATTGCTCTGTATGTGAGAAATTAATTTCTGTAGAAACAAAATCAGTCTTGTGGATAAAATACCTTTATTCCCTAAATGAAGAGTCAAAACAATCTAACAATGTAGATGTGTTCTCTGTGCTTCCAAATCCTTGAGCCTATTGGTTATATTTTTGCTGATATAACATGAATCTGATTTCCTCATTAGTCACTTATGAATAAACTGTGTTATAGATTTACTGCAGAAAGTAAGGAACTGGTGGTAGGTGATCAGTTCAGTTATGAAGAGGTAGAGTGTCAAGGCTGAGCTTTGTTTCTGGTGTTTTGAGATTATTTTATATGAACAATACAGTATCTCTCCTCAAACTTTAAAACACTTCTTTGCATACGATGAACTTTGTGAGGATGTACATCCAGAAAGCTTAGGAAGAAAAATCAATTAATTTTGATTCTTCTTCAAAGTTAATCTTCTTGATTATGTTTTG